GGGTTTAGGGTTTAGGGTTCGGCACGGCTGTAGTGGAGTTGCAGCGGCACTCATCCTAGTTGCAGCCTGAGGTATATGGATGTCCCTGGACCCTCCAGTACCCAACAAGGTTAACAGTGCGAAGGATCTTGCTAGACACGGTCAAATGGTTGAGTTTGTATACTAGATTCTACAAGCCGTGCAGCACTAGGGTGTGACATGTTTGTGCAGTTTGTACCAAAAATCCAGGGCCATTTTGACTTCAAGATGAAAGCACATGCAAGTAAGCGAAGCAAGTTGGTGAACTCCTTGGGAGTATCACCTTCAAATGCAACTGCCGGTTTAGCCCTGGAATCCCGATTAAGCCACCCCAAGGACTTAGTCCGAAGGGGTGGGGACCTAGCCGATTCAAAAACCAGTTCCTTCGCTACCTCTCCATCTGCCTCACGACGGTGAAGCAGATGGACTTCTCTCGCCCTCACCTCGTCCTGTCAGGGTTCTTACTTTATGTGAAATAATTGTTTTTCAAGTCCAATGAGAAAAAATACAAGTTATTGTATGAAGCTAAAGTCCTACCTCATCGAGTTCCCTCATGGAGGGCAGATCCTGGCGCATGACGCCGCATTTCTGGCACACCTTGTTTGTTGCTATTGTACCCGTAGGAAATGAAAACCTCACTACGCTACTATATCACGCCCAGCCGCATAATGGCACCACCAGTCGGACCATTCCCGATGGACCTCATCAAAAATGGTGCAGATGCCGTCGCAGAGGATCGGCGTGGCCTCATTGAACTCAACCTCCCAGTCGTTCTTGACCAGGCCACATACGATAGCACCCTTGAATGTGTGCGCTGAGGAGGCCATGCTGCTCACAAAGAAAGGGCGGTGGAGATGAGAACTGGCAGTCGGTCTTGGATAGCTGCGATGTGCAATTCAAGCATGATCCCGCATCAAGTGTGAAACTGTGTAAGATGAATCACATAAGCTGACTCCAGACATCTCCACAGATCCTGGACCATATGACCTCTTGCCCTTTCCAGGGGCCGTAACAAGACTACCCTCCCTTGAAATTCTCAAAAGCAGGTGACGTGGTATTCCTGGTTGACTATGGGGCCAGGGGCACAGAAAGTTTTGAGGTCCATCTGGTGCCCAACTCTTGCATACGCCATGAAGGGTTTGGGGTTTAGTGTTCTGGCTAAGCTGGGGTTCCATTTTGCACCACAAATTCTCCTGGAGCTGGCTAACATTTTGCGATCCATGAAGGCAGTGCATGATGGGAACAGGAACTGTAACGGTAAGGTGTCAGCTTGATGCATGCCAACGGAGGTCTGCTAAAAGACTCACTGTACCTGAGGCCGATTCCACAAAGGAAGCTACCGGAAAGGGAACTGCTGCATAGAGTGAGTCTGTTGGGTTGGGATGAGGGAGCCATCTTACAGTCCTCATAGGCCTATCATAATTTTTTACCTCACAAGAATTCCTGAGGGTTGCACTATAACACAAACGACAAGCAAGTCAAAAGAAGACTACAGTAAGAGCCTATGGCTTACTCCTCAAGGTGGAAGAAGATGAAACCCTAAACCCTAAACCACATATTAATGAGTAATAAGAATAGCAGTAGAATATTAGTGGTGATGGTAGTAGTATTAATGATTCATGACAATGACAATGATTCCAATAATAAAAACATCATCAAAAAGTAATAACAATCACCTCTTATATTCCTCTTATACCACTATCACTGGGTGGGGGGTCCACCTAACACATAGCAATCATAACCACAATAACTCGGATGAGACCGTTTGGCTTGGCCGAGGGGCGTTGACTGTGCCTTGTCATCATTGCCTGCCCCAATGTCAGGGTTTCCCGAGAATCCCTAGAATGTTTAGGGTTTAGGGTTTAGAGTGATTCTAGGGCCTAGAATGTTGGTTACATTGTTAAATGATGAATAATTACAGAAATATTGTATTTCTTATGGGTAATAATAAGAGCTATTATACTATTATATCATATATAGCAATACTACGTGGCGCTTAGGTATCCTACCAAGGGTTAAACCTTAGGTGGTGAGTATAAGGGAATCCCAAAGGGATAAGGGTCTAAGGCTAAGGTCCAAGCTAGGTCTCAAGGAAGAATGTCGGCTACATTGTTTAGAGGGCATACCATCGAAGACCTCAAACGCTAGACATACCCATGTAGGATTTGGAGTATGGAGGTTGCAGGGTCCAAGTTCGCAGAAAACAGGGTTCAGGGTCACTAGATTTTCGTTCTCCCCTCAACTTGCTTCAAAACAATGTCGCAGCCCACTGTTCAATCTCATCTCCAAAAAATTGGAGACCATTCAGGCCCTTTGCCCTTGTGAAATGAGCATAGTTTCCACCATCCACGCCCCTACCATGAAGCGAGATGATAGCTGACTAACAGACGGCAGGGGGAATGCAGAACCCCTAAGCCCCAGTCTTAGAGAGTCGTGCTAGTCGGATGCGCTAGCGGCATGAGCCATGCCTTGCCCTCCCATACTGTCCGGATAGAGTCCTCCTTAAGTAGGTAGAATATTAGGGTCATATTGGGGTTATATAGGGATAATGGAAAAGAAAATGGAAACTACTATTTAGGGTTTAGGGCTTAGGGTTGATTAGGATTATAGTCCCCCTTAAGTAGGTAGAATATGGGGTATATGGGGATCTTCTTATAATATACCCGAAGCCATATTCTGTCTACTTGGGGGGGACTGTATGCTCCGATGGAGACCACCATCTTGCAAAAGCCCCCTTACGCTCCTGGACCCTAAACATCCTCTCTCTATCAGGAATCTTCCTGGGGAGCCATACTCACCAAAGCCCGTAACACGTCTTGACCCTCTTACTCTGGGAAGGAAGGAGGATCATGTGTGCAGCTACGCAGGACAAACCTATATCCCAAAAAGTATCGAGGATTCCTGAACCCTGAACACTAAGTCCAAGAAGTCTATGTATGATCCCAATTTCCATGCGATTCTTCTTGTTGATTTGGGCGGGACGTAGCCCAAACCCTACACCCCAAACCCTAAACTGTTGAGTCAGGGCCAACACTCTCCGCAAGATGAAGCCTTAAATAAACATTCACTGGCTCTTTTGCGTAGCATCAACTCCGTTTGTAGTACAAGGCCATATAGTCCCCCTTAAGTAGACAGAATATGGGGTATACGGCTTAGGGTTTAGGACGTAGGACTTAGGGTATATAGTCACCATTTAATACACAGAAGATGAGATATATTGGGATCTTATTCTAACATACCCAAAGCCATGTTCTATCTACTTACGGGGGACTATAAATCTAGTCTCAGCCAGGTTGCCCATGATAGGCCCGAAAATTCTCAGCAGCGGCTGTTGCAGCTGATGCTCGATGTAGTATTGTGCATCAATGGACTTGTTGTTCCTAACCACGATTTGAGGTGTGTTAGAGTTTGTGGTTTGGGCTCTCTACAGATCAGGGGACAGGCTATATTAGGGACCCACAAGGGACGATAGTCTTGACAATCGTAGTTGGCATCAATGGACTTGTTGTTCCTAGCCATCTGGAAGGCTTCATAGGGGCTTCGTGTGTTGTGGGTTTATGGTTGTTCCTACTTTTTGGCAAGGGCTTCAAAATTGGAGGGTGGTGGTTATAGGCGTGGAGTGGCAACACGATGGCCATGGTTGGCCCAACCATCAGAATTCCTTCCTGTTACGGCATCTCACGAAACCATATGTCAACTGCCTGCTGTTCTTTGGAGGGGCCATCGTCAAGCAGCTAGCAGCTAAGCGCAGGGCAGAATCGGAGAATATGCGATAGATTGCGAAACCCCTCACACGCTTTCTTATCGAGACCTCTTCCAATGGGCCTGCTAGACCCTAAAACCCCACACCCCCCAACTTAAAAAACCCCATTACTCAACGCAACCTCCAAATCTTACACCCCCAGCCCGCTCTGCACTTTGACCTCTGCAGAGTCCAAGACACTCCAAGGCATAGAGTGGATCCTCGGATCGCTCATATGCCTGCGCAACACATGGAATCTCCGTGCCTACTGCTAGCTGACCTAGAAGACGTATAAACACCCCGCACACCAGCAATTAAGATTGGCCTGAAAAAGGGACACAATCAACATTACAAGGACTCTGAAAGTATGAAACCCTCAAATCGCAGGACCACGGCAGACTGTTTCGTAGCCCATGGGGCCCTCAGAGCGCATCCAGATCCAATGATGACTAAAGGTAAGCTCGTGACCCTTGGCACAATCCACGTATAGCCAGGATGGGTAAGGTTCCCAAACGACAAATCCCAAGCCCTGGGCCCTAAACCCCCCCAAGCCCTATTCCCTTAACCCCATCCTATATACCCTGGTCCTAGACATCAACCCCAAACCCGGGAGAAGGCTCTCTGATCCTACCCGTTGAGTTTAGGGTTTAGGGTTTGGGTTTAAGGACTTAGTGTTTAGGGTCTGGGTTTAGGGTTTAAGGGCTTAGGGACCTGGCATCCCTGCACACCCCACCAGGAAGCTACACGGCAAGCCAGCTACCCAGGTTTTGCCCACCTTGGCATTCTTTGCCCCGGCGCAAATCACGTATGGCACCTGGGGTTAGGGCATAGGTTAGGTGGACCCCCCGCTGTAATAGTGGCTATAAGGGATAATGAGGATGATATTAGGGTCCTCATATATTCTTATTAGACCACTATTACAGGGTGGGGGGTCCTCCTAAGGTTTAGGGCCCCGCTACACAAGTGCAAGCAGCAACGTTTTGATGCTACCTTTCAATAGAGCAAGACCTTTGTTTGCGTGTATATATATATATATATCTGTACCTGTGCACATGTGAGCGCGCATGCGCGCCTGTAATGCTATATGTATGCATCTAAGTGGGGAATCTGGGCTGAGGCCATGTAGAAACACATGCAGAAGGGGCTCGAAATGTGGGACTCCAAACAAGACTGCCGAATATGAAGCAAAACCGATCCGAATGATAGTCATACAATATAAATTTTGTAGAGTCACCCCTCAGTATTGCAAAGGTCGCACAGCAACATCAGCGTTATTCACTGTAGCAGCTACTAGAGGCTACAGGACATTCTCTGAGTTCTTGTTCCTTGGACACCTGGTAGAAATTATAACTTCGGCTGAACATTGGGAATAGAGGTAACAAAAATGAGGAATTGTTTGCAGGAAGCTTCCACTATTCCAACCTTCGCTTCCATACGGCGCTTTAAACCCTAAACCCAAACCATCTAGGCACCGTGGTTAGGTTTTGAGGCTTTCAGCTAGTTCTAATCCCCCTAGACCTATAGAGCAACTCTTCTTTCTTATCATTCCGTGGGAGAATACTATAATCAAGATTAAGAATAACCCTAAACCCTAAGGAAATGGGAGGATTATGTTTTGGAGAAAGCCAGCAACCTCAGACCCTGCCGCCACATATGGAGGCTTCCCGGAATGAGGGGTGACCTTTTTGGAGGGGTCCCATAACAACAACTATAGGATTTTGGGATCTGTATTGGGGCCCCCCTGTAGAAACTAAGATATACTACATGGACGCTTCCCACAATGAGAGGTGACCTCTTTGGGGCCCAGATCAAGGATTGTATTATCTTGCCTTCTTTCAAGTATAGGGGTATAAACTTCAACTGCCAAATTGAGGGGCTGTTGGGTAGGGACGGTCCCTCACCTAAACCCGGAACCCCAAACCCTGAAGCCCAACCATCGGGGCAGGATCCTCCATGCCACGCCAGAGCACCCGATCGCCGCTGCCCGGCGCTGTCGTAGGGTCGCGCCTTGGTCATGAGGATTCGGGTGTTTGGTGTAGATTGTGTAAGGGTGTAGGGCTTTGGCTTTGGGTGTGGCCGACTGCGAGGTCAAGGGGTGACCCAAGCTCTCATGGACAATTGCAAAAACGCAGTGGCCTCAAATCCTACACCCCTAAGGTCTAGGGAAACCAGCAGCCAGCCACCCGGGCCCACCAGAAGCACAGCTCCCCACTTGCGCATGCGCTCTGCCAGTTCCACGTGGGCCTGCTTTGCGCTGTAGTCCTGGATCTGGCAGATATTCAGAGACTTTAGGACCCGCAGTTAGGGTTTAGAGACTTTAGGCGTGAAAGTTAGGGCTTAAGGTTTCAGGTTAGGGCTTAGGTTTTAGGGTTTAGGACCCCAAGTGGCCAGTAGTTCTGGATTCGGAGCGGCTGGGCTAAGGTTTCGCAACTTCTGTCAGTATCGCGAAATCCTAAACCCTATAACCTCTTTTTTGCATGTGAACTCTGAACTGCCGGCCACAAAAAAACCAATAAACCCTGTGCCCCCTAAACAAGGCTCATCTCGCTGGACAGTCCTCGGCGTGCGCTCCCTTGCCCAAGGACCTGAGTCTGCCACTAGCAGGCCCCAAAGCCCCAAATCCTGTTAAGGGTTTGGGATTTAGGGTTTAGGATCTAGGGTAAAAGCTCCTTCCCTAAACTCTGTAAATAATGTACTATAGTAGTTTCCATTTTCTTTTCCCATTATCCCAATATTATCCCAATATAACTCTACAAATACAAAACCCTGAAAAACCTCCTTCTCAAACATTTCGGGCTTAGGAATGTAGCACCCCTGCAGCCTTTACCGGAATCCTGAAAACTGGCCTTCAGGACAAGGGCATATCAGTTGAAATGCCTACACCTGGATTCTCTGCAGGTTTGGTCTTCACGCTTTAGATTCATGAGCTGAACTCTTGCATAATACTCGGAGAGATCCTTCGCTTGACTTGGTTTCTAATTTTGTAAGGCCTCAAGCCCTGTAACGCTGGCTTGTTATCAGGAACCGCCTTGACTAAAGAGCCGGGCCATAGCTCCCAACACCCTTTTTACCAAAGAAACTGGTGCTAAATGCTAAGCCATCCTTATAGATCCTCAGTGCCCGGCTGCTTCCCATATCTGAGTGGTGTATGCTACGTATGGCCAGCTCCAATCGTCTTCTTGCTTGAGCTATAAATCCTCGTCAGTAAACTCCAAAACTCTGTTTTTTGCATTGTGAAAACCTAAACCTTAACCCTAGGCTTCAAACTTCAATCCCAGAAGCTTGAAATCGAAGCCCTAGACGTGTAGCCCAAGGCCCTAAACCCTAAACCATGAATTGTTGATACGGTGATACGAAAATGCTACATGACCTTCCCATACTAAATCCGCGTAATTAACTCCGTAGTAGGAACTTCCCTAGACCCTAAACCCCAGGCCCTAAACTGAATCCACGTAATTCCCTCCCTAATGACTTACAGGAACATACAAACCCTAAACCCTCAAACCCTAAGCTCTAAACCCTAAACTCGAAACCCTACACCCTAAATCCTAAACCCTAAACCCAAAACGGTACCCCCAATCTTAGGAAGTCCTGAAATTATGCTTTTACCCCGTAGCTCGGCTTGAGCGGCTTTGTGATCACCAGCAGGGAGAGGTCAATCTTGTTCTGGAGGAGGTCAGAGACCTTGGCGGCGGGTAGGCCAAGGCTTTCTGGGAGCTTTACCAGGGTTTAGGGTTTATAGGATTATAGGGTTTATAGGATTTCGGGTTTATAGGGTTATGGGGTTTCGGGTTTAGGGTTTAGGCCCTAGGTGGGCCCCCTATCCTGTAATGGTGACTATAAAGGATCATAAGGATTATATTGGGGTCTTATTGTCTTCCTACTCTATTAATTACAGGCATTACAGGGAGGGGGGGGGGTCCTCCTAACGTAGGTCAATGTTTTCTGGGAGCTGTACCCAACAATGACAATCCCAGTAATGGAGAATCAAATGGAAACGAACATTGAAAGGGTGGTTCATAGGGTTTGGACGGCTAGGTAGCCCGATCACAAAACACCATCTATCTTGGTTGGCCTTTGCAGCCTTTTGAAAATCATTAGTATATAGGGTCCTTTTGAAACCAATACGGGAAAATATATAAATATCCCACAGGCCAAGCCATATAAAATCGCTTATAAGGAGCCATGGGGTGCTACCAGGTCATACCCTGGTGTCTTTTACCTACCTGGACTTGGTGCCCCTGGACTTGGCGCCCCTGCACTGCGTGTAGTAACCCTTTGGTAAACCTACAGTACACACGTGCACGTGCGCGCGCATCTGTGCTTGCTACACTGGGATATATACCTGGGCACCCCAAGTCTAGAAACGATACCTCCTTTGCGCCCCGCAAAATACATACTTTGAGAACTTTCCCGACCCCTGAAAAGACAGAGGGATATGTACGTGTATGTACATATATATATATGTGTGTGTGTGTATGTATATATATTGTGGGACATGCACGTACGCTCTCGGGCTCAGACCGCTTTCTGCACAAGCTCGATGGCCTGGCATTGAAAGCTTGGGGGGTAAACTACCACTTGGGGGCCCTGGCAATCGACTCCTCTACTACTACTACTACTACTACTACTACTAGCCGCCTCCCCCCCCTAGGGCCTACACTTAACTTAAAATAGAATATAAACTTCCCGAGGAGGCGGCCAGGCGGCCAGTAGCAGTAGTAATCT